GGCACACGGCCGGAGGACCTCGACATGATGGAGTCCCCAGGGCTCGTCACCTTCATGGCCACGCCGTTGCAGGTTGTTGCCATGCCACGCCTCGACAAGGAGGAGCTGTTCAAGCGAGTGCCAGTCGACATGTCCTGATCGACCTGCCGATCATTCCCAAATACAAGGGGCAGACCAAGGTCCTGGATAAACCTAGGTCCGCCTAGCATATGAATCGACATCCAAGGACATTTTTAATGTTTTGTTGGGCATGGTAGCACGCCAGCACTTACCTTATGCTCGCCAGACAAACCTTCAAAGGGAAAAACTATATTGGCCACTATAGGAAATCAGGTAGGTACTCACGCTCTGTTTTAAAGGTGTCACCTGTTAATCCATCTACTTCCTTAGTAACTTTGATCATAAATTTCTTTAAACTCGTATTAGTGTTAAAGTTCGATTTATGCCCCTCAATGATGGCAAAATTTCAAATTGCCCCACTCAACTTACCAGGATACACCCTAACTATGTAAATCGGATTAAATACCTCCTCAGTCCAGTAAATGCATGTACAATAAAGAAGTTTTGCTGGCAACGGTGCATACATCCTTGCAAAAGTGATGAGGTGGCAGCGAACTAAGCGAAGAAATTAAAGAGAACAAGCGGGTGACTATATAAGAGCAGGTGCAATGAAGAAAGAGAAGAAGCGGGTGACTATATAACAACAGGTACAATAACAGACAAATCAGCTACAAACACATGGGGAGGAGATAACATAGGAGAGAGAGGAGAAACGAGCTATAGATTTGTAGCTAGCCAGCTACAGCATGGACTTCAAGACGCTGTGTGTATGACAGGTGAGGCCAATCATTAATTATATGTAGTACTAGCCGCTAACCCATGCGTTGCACAGGCTATTATTAATGCACCATAAATTTTAAATTTTAGCCATATATTGGATATCTTATAAATTGCAAATACTTGGTAGAAAAGGTACTTCTCATGGATGGCTACTTGCTGATATTAATTTCTTACAAAATTACTTAGTTGAAAGTTGTTAACGACCAAATTTGGTAAGACATGAACCAGGTTCGTCATCGGGATCAAAGCGGATTCGGTAGAGAGTTAGATTCAAAGAATAGCGTGCGCATTGGTTGCGAAGGTATCGGCTGGAGTCTGAATCTGCTGAGGATGATCAGATGAAGGACAACCAATACAGCCGATGGGGTTGATACAACCAATACAGTCGATTCCAGTGGTGATGGTTTCGGGGCTGTTTATAGAATCCATCAACGTGCTTCATAAGGATTGCCATGATGGAGATAAAGCTCTCGGAAAGGCAATTATATCTATTAATTAGGATGTTTTGTATAATTTTCTTAGAGATATGTTTGGGCAAAAGTCTACTGCAAAGACTTATGGTATCTTAGAGTTTGTTAGAGATAAGAGTCGAGTCCGACAAGGACATATTTTGTAATTTCGGGTATAAATAGAACCCGAACTCATGTAATCAATGAACACACACATTCAATAACAATTTCGGCGCATCGCCACCCTTTTTACTTTCGTTCTATTTCGACGAGTTCTTGCTTTCGAGTTGAGCTGCATCGATTCGATCTTCAACTAGAGGTAAACTTGTCATGGCGGCTTGCGTTCTTGGGATTAGTGCTTCCATCTTTATGACACTCTAATCTTGTTTGTGTAATTCGTCGAGTTATCATATACATGTTGCAATCTTTGTTAGTTGCGTTATATAACTTGTTATCGGCTGGTTCTCATCGTCGGGAATCGACTAATAGTGTTATGTTTCGTTATTAAGTTAGATTATATCGTGTATCCACCATCTCTTAGAGGTTTTCATCATCCTGTTTAGATCCCACAATTATCTTTATGCCTAATGCTGCATCGGTTGAGTTCGATCTATTGAGTTTTACTTATAATTGCGATATCTAGCCTGTTTTATGATTATCGAGAGAAATAGTATCAGAGTTTCAGCCGATCTTACCTGATTTAGCTACTTCATATTTCATATGCTTGATTGTTATGCTAGATCTGCCATTTATATTAAGATCTTATTGTATTAACGTATATTAGGCCTCTTGTTTGATATATCTTGCTTGTTTTGATATCTTAGTATAAAGTAGTATCGGAGTATTAGCCGATACATGCTAGATCTATTTGATCGGCTATGCTATAAACCTCTATATAATCATTGTTTTAATATATATTTCGACTTAAGTGATTTATACTGTCTCGGCATAGCGACCGATCTATCCCAATCACTTGGTTTAAAAATGTATCGAAGTAAAGATTATATGTTGTTAATATCTACAGCCGATCGAGTAGATTTAGTTTTATTTTACTTATTCATGACTGCCAATCGATTCCAATATGACATTGGCTCGAAGATAAATGATATGTCATCGGCAACTAGCCGATCGGCTATCGTTTATGGATTTAATCGCGGTTTTTCTTGGCTTCGTTCTTGTTGATTCCAGCATCAAATCAACTGGCACGCTCACGAACCTAAGTGCGAGATTTTGGACCTGCACAGGAGTTAAGCAGATCTTCCAGGCCAGTGTGTATTTTTCGCATCAACAAAAGTACAAAATATTACCTTATTTCTTAATTATGAAATTAGAAATTATTAAAGTCTTGAAAGAAACTGAAGACACTGTGGTAAGTGTATGGTACTTTGTAAGTATTTAAGAACTAAACGGTTGGTTAGATTAATAGCACTAAATTCAAAACTAATAATTGTAAAATGTGTAGTCTAAATTATGGCATTCACGGGCTCTATAAATAAGATCCAATATGACACATTTATGGGCTCTATAAATAAGATACGACGCATTCACGGGTTCAATAATTTCAACTTCAAAAAGCTTCTTTCAAGATATGACACATTCACGCACTAGTACAGATCCTTCTATCTGTGACAGGCTCTAATATGCTTAGAAATAGCGGGCCGTCACAAGGAAGTCATCTCAATCGGGCCGAAAAGTGCCCGATTGAGATATGGTCGCACAGACATGTTAGATGGGTATAAAACTTAAGCCCATCACGGATGACACCTATCAGTGACGGGACACAACTTTAGGCCCGTTTGAGATAACATTCCATATCTCAAACGAGCCTCAAGTTGTGGCCCGTCACAAATGACCATCATCTGTGATGTGCACCAATTTGAGGCCCGTTTGAGATAACAACTATGCCCGTCACAGATGACTCATTAGTGACGGGCTATTTACTTAATCTCTATCGGGCATTAACTAAAGCCCGTCACCGATAACTATTTTTCCATTTTTCATATGAAATGTTTATATTTGTAAGTTGACTATAGCAAAATAATTTTACAGGTAGTAAATGATTTCAAATGGAAAAAATGTCAACAACAAAGTTGTATAACTTATCAATATTTACAACTTTTAGTTTGGTCATTTTTCAATATAACTTTTTTTTTTTGAACAGTTTGAATTTGAATTTAAAAATATGACAACTTCAAACAATATTTTCAAATACTAAATGATTTCAATTGAAAAAGTCATCAACAACAAAGTTGAATAACTCATCAAGATCTAAAACTTTTATTTTTGTTATTTCTTCATCTGACGAAATGTTAGTAATATTATTCACAAATTTTACATATATGTGTTATAGTTTATAAAACTAGATAAGAGATATATCAATTTTGTGAATAATGTTACTATCACTTTGTCGTATGAAGAAATGACCAAAATAAAAGTTTTAGATCTTGATGAGTTATTCAACTTTGTTGTTGATGACTTTTTCATTTGATATCATTTAGTATTTGAAAATTTTGTTTGAAGTTGTCATATTTTCAAATTCAAATTCAAACGGTTCAAAAAATATTATATAGAAAAATGACCAAAATAATAGTTATAGATTTTGATGAGTTATACAACTTTGTTGTTGATGACTTTTTCAGTTGAAGTCGTTCACTGATCTAAAATTCTATTTGAACTTTTCAAACTGTGAATTTCAAATTTCAAATTGTTTAAAGGGATAAGTCCATTTTACGCCCTTCAACTATTTACCTTGTCTAAAACACACCCTCGAACTGTAAAACCGGATATCTAACACCCTCGAACTATTAAAACCGGACACTTTACCCCCCAAAGCAGTTTTAGGCTGGTTTTGGTACAATTGGATGCCACGTCGGATGCCACCTCTAAAAAAGAATTCCACGTCACCAAGGGGAAGAGGGGGTCCCACTAGTCAGTACACCCCTTTCTTCTTCTTCTTCCTTCCTCTCTGCTCTTTCCCCTTCCTCCCTGAAAATCTCAATGGAGCAGCCGAAGTTGCCGACGAGCTCCCTCTGTCTCAGCCTCCATCCCGTTTTCCACTGGCCTCACTCCCTCCAGCCCCCAGCAAGCAGTCTCCCACTGCTTTCCTGCCACAAATCTGCCCTCCTCCATAGCGGGTTGAGATCGGCACACGAGATAGGTGGTGGCCAAGGTGATGGCGGTGGCGAGCGGTTGTGGAGGGGGTCCCTCGAGCTCCACGCCCTTCGGCCATCGCCGCTAGTAACACCACCCAACGAGCTCCAAGCCCCTTTGCTGCCACTGCCAGGGAAGAGAAAGGTCAGGTTGGGGGAGATTGGTTTGGGCAGCATGGAGCTTGTAGAGCGTGGTGGTCTTGCCATCGTCGAGGCCGACGACGACGATCTTGTACTTCTTCGCCGGGAACATCAAGAACCACACCAGCGACATCCACGTCCCCATCTTCTTCCTTCTTCCTGCTGCTCCTCGAGCCGGCAAACTCTGCACCATGGCCGTCGCCGTCGAGTGCCGCGAGCTCCTCCGTAGGCCATGCCACCGGTCGAGGTCGCCGCATCCGGCGTCACCACAACCGCCGTCGTCGTCGCCAGCGGCCGGCTCCACGGCCGACGGATCCGCTGCCCCGCGACCTTCGGACGCTGGCCGACCTAGCCGCAGCTGCAGCCGCCGCCGCCGCCACCGCTCCCGTCGTCGTCGTCGTAGCGGCCGGATCCACGGCAGATGGATCCGTCGCCGGCGCCACCGCTCCCGTCGTCGTCGCCGTGCCCGCCGCCGTCACGGATGGGAGGCCGCAGCCGCTGCCGGTGCCGAGCCCGCCGCTCCAGCCCGCCACGCCGTGCAGCTCCCGTCGGTGAGAGAGAGAGAGAGGGGAGAGGAGGAAAGAGTGAGAGGCTGAGAGAAGAGGAGAGGAGAGGATTTTGCTTCAATAATTTTGCTGACTTGGATTGACACGTAGATGCCACGTAACCAAAAAACCACTTTGATTTGGTTTTGGGGGGGGGGGGGGGTAAATTGCACGGTTTAATAGTTGGAGGGTGTTAAGATACCCGGTTTTGTAGATCGAGGGTGTATTTTAGACAAACACAAAAGTTTGAGGGCGTAAAATGGACTTATCCCTTGTTTAAATAGAGTCAGATGGAGAAATGACCAAAATAAAAATTTTGCACCTCGATGGGTTCTACAACTTTGGTTTTGGTGACTTTTCCATTTGAAATCATTTAATAACCCCAATTTGACATTCTGGCCTAGGGCATAATAGGATTAATAGAATACTCATACCAACATGTTACAATTACTTTTCCGGAAGCCAATCTCTAAAGAACTTTGATGTTAGTGTGCTTGGTCTAGAGCAATTTCGGGATGGATGACCGACGTGGGAAGTTTGAACTTCCCGCGTAGGTGCACACGAGTGAGGGCTAGCCAAAAAATAAAATTTATTTATTTTTGGAATATACTCATCTGTGACGGGCATTAACTCTAGCATAAGTTAATGCCCGTCACAGATGACTCATCTGTGACGGGCTATAGTTAATGCCCGTCACAGATAAGGGTCATCTGTGACGGGCGCTAGTTGTGGCCCGATTGAGATAGGTCATTTGTGACGGGTTATAGTTTGACTGGTCGTCTGGGTCAAAGCTATCGGTGACAGGCTTTACTTAGGGCTCGATTGAGATAGAATCATCCGTGACGGCCGTTTGCCCGATTGAGATAGCTCTTCACATGAGTGACTTCTAGCCTGTGATGGACGCCATGCCCGATTGAGATGGGGCTTACCGCCTGATTGAGATGAGGGTATCCGTTCTAGTGACGGGCTCTATAAATTAGATCCAATAAGTAATAAAAATATTAGAACTATACATCAGTACACGACAAAAGCCAACACATGAGATTACATAAAATCACAATGCTACAAAATTTCAATCTTTCATTTGGCGATGACAAATTAGCAATGATGTATAATGTATGTATTGGTGATTTGTTGCACTCACCCGAATAGATGTCATCAATGAGTGTAACAGTATTCAGACTTTGACCCCCGGGCCCACGTTGGCGGTTGGCCCGTCCTCCTCGTCCTGTCGTACGTCCAGTACTCTAGGGTCTAGGGGCAGCCGGCCGCTGGCAAGCATCAAGGCACAAGCAGCAGCTGCAGCTGTCCAGCGCCTGGCCGCCCGCACCTGAGGGCTGAGGATGAGCACCTCCTCCATCCTCGTGCGGGTGCGGAACCAACTGTGGCGTCGTGCCGATCACCAGTACAAAATCCATTTTCTCGTGTTGTCCAAATCTATTTTTCCGCGCGGAGGTAACACCCGTTTGCACTCAAGGGTATGTAAAAATTAATATTTTCACGTATGGGCAGCCCAACCGCACGAGATAATAGATTATCCCGTGCGGTCGTGTCAAGTGCACCGCACGGGATACAGTCAAGTTATACCACCTGCACGTAGAAAAAAAAATCAAAAAATAAAAAAAAAAAGCCGAACTCCAACCCTAGAATCGCCCGCCGCTGCTCTCGAGCCCGCTGCTCCCGGCCGCCGCCGTTGCGCCCGCCCTCCACCGCCACCGTCGCGCCGGACGCCACTGCCGCCGGATCCGCACTAATCCGGATAGGGGACGGTCGCCGCCGCCGGATCTGGGCGGGGGCCGGTTGCCGTCAACCCTCGCCGCTCGCTGCTGCGATTAGCCGCCACCGTCACTCTCGAGCCCACCGCTCCCGGCCGCCGCCATCGAGCCCGCCTGCTGCCGCAACAGTCCCACCGGCCACCACCGCTGCCGGATCCGCACAGATCCGAGCGGGATACAGTCGCCGCCGCCGGATCCGGGTGGGTGCCGGTTGCCGTTGCCCCTCGCCGCCGCGCCCGAGCCACTCACCACCGCCGTCCGCCGAGCTGCTCGCCGTCGCGCCTGCCCGGTCACCGCCTCATTGCCTCCTGGCCGTTCCTAGCCGCCGCCTCGTCAGCGGTGCCGCCGAGCCGGCCGCATCCCGCGGAGAGGAGGGTAGAGGAGAAGAGAAAGAGATGGAAAAAGAGATAGAGAGGAGGGAAGTGAGAGAGAGAGGAGTGAAAATAAAAAAAAAGAAATGAAGGGAGGGGAGATGGGAAAAATTTGAAGTGGGTGAGAGGGCGAGGTATTTTCACGTGTGGACCACTTAATACCCCCGCACGCGAAAATTGATTTTTCTTAAGGAGCCGGACGGGATAATGAGGATTATCTCGTGCGGTCAGATTAAGACATCCGCACGGGATAATTTATTTTCCCATGTGGGCGACAGCCCAGCGCCGGTCGCCCGATTTTTCCAGATGGCACCACTTATGGTCCGCCTGGAATCTACTGAGGCCATGGTCCAGGAAAATATTTTGTCTACTAGTGGATGCGGGCGGGGGCTGCTAGCTGGCGCATGCATGCCAGCAGCGAAAAAGCAAAAAAAAAAAAAAAGAAGAAAGAAACAGCGAAAAAAAGGAGCGCCTGTGGGCCGGAAATGCACATTGGCGGCGCGCATACTAACTAGCTTTTCCGGATGCGGGCTGCCCTGTTGGCTTTTGCGCATCGCCGTGAAGAGAAGAGGAAAGGAAAGAGGATTTGGGATGCAGCAATCTTGCGACTCGCGTTGCTCCTCATGTTCTTTCGCCTCGTCTTCCGCCGTTTCGCGTCCACGCCACGCATGTGATGTGAGCTCTTCACCTTCACGGCTTTACTCTAATGCCGCATGCGCTCGCTTCTGTTGGGTCAGGCCTGGCAACTGGTGTGTGTTGGGGGGGAGGGGAGGTGGGGGCCCCTGCGATTTGGGGGCCAGTGCAGCCGCACCGCTCACCCCCCTCCCCCTAGGGCCGGCCCTGGGACTAATCCTCTCTGGTTTGTACCAATCAATTCCGATATGATACAACTGAATATCCAACCTCTAACACCGGTGTGCCCAGAATATTAGGATTTCTTTCGCCATCCATCTAAAAAAGGAAACATACAGTATGAGTACAAGAAAAGAAATTACGGCATATAATTTTTGTCAGGGATTTCTCAAATTTGTAGAAGACACATAATGTGCTACATGCATATTATACGATACTGTATCAATTTTTTTCTGAGATTCTCTAGTTTCGATCCTCTTGAAAGAAATTACAGCATACATATTTGTCAAAGATTTCTCATATTTTGCTGCAAAGAGGACTAACACACGACAACATATTCATATCCAATTTAAGCTTTATAGAAACACACACTTGTGGTTGGTGCTCCTAACCTGAACTAATCAAATTAATTATTAGCAACTTGCTGTCTCTCAATATTGCGATTTCACATACATGCACACAATCACACATTGCCTAGCTAGGATCAAGAATGGAGACGCACACATACACAGATGAGCTGAGTTGGGGATCAGTTCTTGGTTTACCTTAAAGTGTGAGAGAATCCGTGGAAGGCTACACCAGGTTCGTCGGCCAGAGATTCGTCGCAAGGCTGCCTACTGGGGTGGCAGGGACAGCTTCCCTGAGCTTCCCGACTTGTGTGAATGCTTCAACCATTTGTTTCTTGTTTCCTCCATACACTCCGAACACGCCCATTTCCCTTTCACAGTTTGGCCAGAAAGGTTGCTAAGGGCCAGATAATCGATGATGGTACAAAACAACATTGCATGGAGGTTGAAGTACTCTTGTGCATATGCGTCCCATGTTCGTGTGCCCTCATTCCATAGCCTTTCGAAGTCATCGATTATCAGTTCAAGGAACACATCGATATTGTTGCCATGTTGTCTCGGTCCTTGAATGAGCATGGCAAGAATAATATACTTTCTTTTGAAGCACAACTAGGGAGGAAGGTTATAGTTAACAAGCAGAACTGGCCATGTACTGTGATTGACTTCTCAAATCACCAAATAGATTAATGTTGTCCGTACACATGGCGAAACACATGTTTCTTGGGTCCTTTGAGAATTCCTGGTAAATCCTATTGATTGTCCTCCACCGTACTGAATCTACTGGGTGCCTCAACATAATATCGACTTTCCGTTCTTCGGCATGCCAGCGCACTAGCTTAGCTTGTTCCTTATTCGCAAACATTCTCTTCATGCGTTCCGCAATTAGGAGATACCACACCACCTTTGCGGGGCCTCCCATCTTTGACTTACTTCCTTCACCTTCACTCTTTGCTCGTTTGTATCTAGATGCCCCACAGACAAGACAGACATCCAAGTCAGCGTATTCCTTGTAAAATACAAAATGCAGTAGTTCAGACAAGCATGAATTCTTCTGATCTTCAGGCCCAACGGACATAATACTTGCTTCGCTTCATATGTCGTCTGCGGTAAATTGTTCCCCTCTAGCAACAGGTCCTTTAACAGCTCAAGAAGTTCTGTAAAACTCTTGTCGGACCAGCCATTACTAGCCTTAAACTTCATGAGTTCCAACACGCATGACAACTTGCTGTGCTTCGACTTGCATCCATCATACAAGGGCATCTGACAATCTTCGACCAACTTATGAAACTTCTCAAAATCTCTGTCGTTGTCCTCTGCGTCTTCAATGTCATGCAACATTGTAGATAGACAATGAGTGTCCAATTCTATGGTCTCTCCACCAAACGGAGAACGTACGAACATGCCTTCTCGAGCTGCAGCGGTGTTCTCTACATCCTGATCCAACACTTCTTCAGCTGCGGCATCAGGCGCCTCTTGCTCTCCATGCTTGGTCCAACAGGTATATTTCTTCATGAATCCATTCGTTATCAAATGAGAATGCACTTCTGAGCTATCAAGGATCATCTTTTCATTCTTACATTCCCTACATGGACACAATATGTACATGCTCATCCTACTTTTTCTGTCATTCTCCGCAAATGTGACAAAATCAGTGACCACCTCTCTATACTCTGTAGACGAACGATGAACATGGTACATCCAACTACAATCCATCTAAAATCAACAACATAGGAAGAAAAATATATGATGATCGATATATTGAGAATGAAGGGAAGAATAATGTGTTTTTACCTTGAATTTTAGCAAAAATTCGCCCCCCTTGCACTCCCAACCGATTTGTGAACAGTGAAATGGTCGGGATGGAAAGCAGTTGGCGGTTTGGGGGGTATTTATAGACCCAACACACCTCAAAGGGGTTAGGTAAAAAAAGCTCGTCAAAGGTATTGGCCATACCTTTGACGGGCATACCTTTGACGGGCTTCAATTGAGTTGCCCGTCACAGATAGGTCGATACCTGTGACAGGCCAAGAGGAAAACCCGTCACAGGTGACGCCCATCACCTGTGACGGTTTTTAATGAAGAGACACGTCACAGGTAAGGTCATACCAGTGACGGGTTAGAGGAAAAACCCGTCACTGCCTCACCTGTGACAGCTTTGTCTTACAGCCCGTCACAGGTGAGGTGATACCTGTGATGGGCCGCGGCCAGATGCCTCACCGATGACAGCATCTCGTATGACTCATCAAAGGTGACGGTCATCAGTGACCATTTGCTTTGCCCGTCACAGGTATCTCGTCAGAGGTGTGAGGATCTGGCGTAGTGGCACCACCACCTCTTCCCATTTCTGCCGCCGCGCACGTGCGAGGGTTTCTATGGGAGTAGCAATTGGAACGGGTTAGATGGTTTTGCTGGTTCAATCTCTCACTGAACCCAACCCGCACGATTTTTTAACGGTTAAGATCAAGGGGGACTTGGTGTTCATAATCTAGAAAACCAAAACCAATGTTTACTTAGTAAGTGGTTGTTTAAATTAATAAAGAACAAGGTGTGTGGCAAGATCTTTTGAAAAGGAAATATCTTGGTACTAAATCTATAACTCAAGTTAAGAGGAAACAAGGGGATTCCCATTTTTTGTCAGGGTTGATGAAAGTTAAAAAATCTTTTCTAGATATGGGTTCCTGGTTTATTAACAATGGTGAACAAGTTAGATTCTGGGAGAATAAGTGGTTAGGTAATTCATCTTTAAAGGACAAGCACCCATCATTATATTCTGTAGTTAGAAGGAAAACTGCTCAGTTGCAAGTGTTATGAGTACTGTTCCGCTTAATGTCTCTTTTAGGAGAGCATTAGTTGGTCAGAACTTGATTAAATGGCACAATTTGTGCGCTTCAATTGTGCATGTTAACTTAATAGAGGAGAATGATTTATTTAGATGGAATCATCATCAAAGTGGTCAATTTTCAGTTCGACCTATGTATTTGGCTCTAATTAATAATGGGTATATCGAGAGAAATAAGTTTATTTGGAAACTTAAGATGCCTCTTAAGATTAAGATTTTTATATGGTATCTCATTAAGGGGATTGTTTTAACAAAAGACAATTTGGCTAGAAGGAATTGGAATGGTAGTTTGAGATTTTGTTTTTTAAAGAAAAATGAATCGATTTACCATCTTTTCCTGGATTGCCATTTTGCCAGATTTCTTTCGAGATCTATACAATTCGCGTTTGGATTATACCCTCCACATAGTATATCTCATATGTTTGGGAATTGGTTTGTGGGTGTTAATAAAAAGATCAAGAAACTTATTCTTGCAGGAACTTCCGTTGTATGTTGGGCTCTCTTGCTTAGTAGAAATGAAATGGTTTTTGATAGATCACCTTTAAAATCTTATTTGCAGGTTCTTTTTAGGATAACATATTGGCTTCGGGAATGGGCTAAACTACAAAGACATGATGATCATATCAAGCTAATAAAAGATTCATGTCGTAAACTTAAGTTGACGATCATGCAGCTCTTTGCCAACTTCGGGTGGAGATTCACGAATAAAATTCAGTAGTTATGGGGTATTTACCTTGCTTGGTTTTTATTGGTTTGCTTTTTACTTTTGGTTTTGTTACTTTGGCTATATACTCACTATGTGAGTTTGTTTTTGTCTGAACCTTGTAATAATTGGCTGTAGCTCTTGAGCAAATGCCGAAATGTTTTATTCCATTATTAAAAAAATAATTTTTTAACGATTTTGACCTAGAAACTGTCGAACCCGGTGAAACCACTAACAACGGGTTTGGTGCAGTTGGGGTTCACGGTATGGGCTGGGTTCGCTTGACCCGTGTAAACACTACTGGAGATCCCCACATCTCTCCCGGTTCGCAACCACCTTTACTCCCGGGTAGCGAACCGGGAGAAGGAATCCGGGACTAAAGATCGCAGTCTTTAGTCCCGGTTCAGATACCCGGGAGTAAAGATTCATCTTTAGTCCCGGTTGGTGTTACCAACCGGGACTAAAGATGGCTGAGCCGCGTCTCGGTTGATCCCCTTTTCTTTTTTTTTCATTGTCAATTTGCTACGGACTGAGTTAAACCCTGTATTTTCTACCAAATCGGGTGAGATGCATATCCCCAAATCAAACCCCGAATCAAGTAACATCCCAAATCATTCACCTCACAAATCCTAAGTTACATATACTTAAATAAATTACACACCAAATAAAAGCATCACAGATCTATGCAATGAATCACAAATTTATACATCCAGTGAATCACAAATCACAAAAAAAAAGAAAAAAAGAAAACGGGAGGACACCGGCCGCTGCCTGCGTGCGCAGCCCCGGCGGCCGCCACCGCCTGCGTGCGCAGCCCTGCTGGCCGCCTGCCCGCCGCCGCCGCAGCTGGCCGCCTGCCCGCGCTCGCCCGCGTCGGCCGCCGCCTGGCGTGCCGCGCGCCTGCCGCAGGTCGCCTGCCCGCGCCGTCCGCCGCTCAGCTCGCCGCTCGCCTGCGCCGGCCGCCACCGGCCGCCGCTTGGCCCGCCGCTCGCCCCTCACCCGCGCCGGCGGCCGCTCGCCCGCGCAGAGGGAGGAGGAGGAAGGGGAGAAGGGGAGGAGGAGAGGGGAGGGGAGGAGAGGAGGATGAGATTGGATCTGAGGGGAGGAGAGATTGAGGGAGATTTTATCTAGTACTTAACCGATCAGAGATGGGAGATAAATATTTACTTCGGTTGGTAGTACCAACGGGACTAAAGATCTAAATGATCTTTAGTCCCGGTTGATAGTACCAACTGGGACTAAAGATGATCTTTAGTCCCGGTTCATCCCCTGTCAGAAGCCTGGCAGGGGGCCGAGGATCTTTAGTCCCGGTTGATAATACCAACCGGGAACTTTAGTCACGGTGGTGTCCCGGCACGTGGTCGCGGTGCCGTTCCCTGGCCGCGGCCACATCAACCCGATGCTCGCCGTGTGCCGCCACCTCGTAGCCGCGGACGCCGCGCTCTCCGTCACCGTCGTCGTCACGGAGGAGTGGCACGCGCTGCTGGAATCCGCCGGAGTGCCCGCGGCGCTGCCGGACCGCATCAGCTTCGCCACCATCCCCAACGTCATCCCATCCGAGCATGGCCGTGGCGCCGACCACATCGGCTTCATCGTGGCCGTGCACACCAGGATGGCGGCGGCCGTCGAGTGGCTGCTTGACCGGCTGTTGCTGGAGCAGAAGTGGAGGCCGGACGCCATTGTGGCCGACACCTACCTGGCGTGGGGCGTGGCGGTCGGCGCGCGCCGTGGGATCCCGGTGTGTTCGCTGTGGACCATGGCCGCCACGTTCTTCTGGGCGCTCTACCACTTCAACCTCTGGCCGCCGGTGGATGGTAGCGAAAGCGAACAAGGTATTTGGTACTATTTTGGTTGCAGGTCGACGTCTCTAATTTTATCCCTTTTCTTAAGAACAATCTGAATTTAAAACAGAGCGTGAGTACGTACCGAACTACCTACAGTATCTAGAGAATTTATTATTTGTCATTCTTCCAAAATACACATGTCTAAATGAAAACGAAAATTTAGAAGAGTAGTATTTGGACATGTGAATTTTGGGAGGATGGCAAATAGTAAATTATCCCCTATATTGACAAATATTGTGGTAGTCCTAAGCTAAACACTGGTATGGCCCCACCAAACACAGAAAATATATACTCCCTGCATTTTATTTTAATCATCATATAACTATTTTGCCAAAATCATGAGAAACTTAACTATCATGCATTTTATTTTTATTTATGTGAGTATGTAGGAAAAGAATCAAGAAACAACGGACTTTAACTCCACATGTGCACAACAAAGGTGTAAGCTCAACAAAAATCTCATATAGAGGCAGTTTTACAGAGGCTTTTTACAAATTGCTTCTAAGATCAAAAGTTTTATAGTGTAAAGAAACTTTACAGAGGCACTTTAAATTGCTTTCCATGGTTAGGCATTCATGTTACGCCCTCCATTTCATATTATAAGGAGTCAATTTTTTAAAAAAAATTGATCAAATATATTGAAAAGCGTATCAATATTTTCAAGTTTCAACACACAGCAAAGATACTATCAAAATATATTCAATGTTAGATTTAATGAAATAATTTGGTGGTGTTGTAGATGTTGCTACGTTTTACCATATAAATATGGTCAGAGTATATAGAAGTTTGCCTTATAAAAAAAAAGTCAAAACGTTCACTTATGTGAAATGGAGGGGGTACGGACTTACGGTGCTGGTGCATTTTCTCTTTTTCAGAAAAACCCTAGTGTGTTTGCAACTGCATATCCGGTTGCTCCCTTAGTAATTGCAGATCACTGATGTGCTTTACTTCTATGCCCTGCAGAGCTAAGCTGCAGGTCGTTGGAGCAATACGTCCCAGGTCTCTCATCAGTTAGATTGTCCGATATCAAGACCTTCCGTGCAAGCTGGGAGCGGCCAATGAAAATAGCAGAAGAAGCGCTCGTCAACGTGCGTAAAGCACAGTGTATCCTCTTCACCTCCTTCCACGAGCTCGAACCGGAAATCATCAACAGAATAGCAGAAACGGTTCCATGCCCCATATACCCGATCGGCCCTTCGATTCCGCACTTGCCACGGAACGGCGACGACCCAGGCAAGATTGGCAACGATGATCACCATAGCTGGCTGGATGCACGGCAGGAGAACTCCGTGCTGTATGTCTCGTTCGGGAGCTACGTCACGTCAGAATCGAATCACAAGAACTAAGCCAACCAGAGGGGGGTGAATGGTTGATATACCCAAAAACCGAAAACTTTTAGCGGAAATAAAAGTTACCCTCGAAATCGACGGATCGCGGTCTGACCGAAGTTGTCCTGTCGGTCTGACCGCCTGGTTGTCGTCGGTCTGACCGAGATTAGATCTCCGGTCTGACCGCCGAGATCAGCTGCCGCTCGCTGTCGCCGCCACCGGTCTGACCACCCGTATGCCGCCGGTCTGACCACCGCTTGCCGCCGGTCTGACCGCCGGTAGATCGCCAGTTAGACCGCCGAAACTCGGTAAACACAAATCGAAGAACTCTTAAAGTGGATGACGACTATATTAATTCTCTCTGTGTTTACAAAGTGCACCAACAGCACTCCTTACAAAAATTTCGACTAAACTCGAAACCCTAACTCAAAACTCAACTCAATTGCTCTCTAAAGATATATCGGGAAGCCTCACGCTCCCCCTCTATTTATACATGAGGTAGGTAGCCTAAAGCCACGAACCAAACTCATACTAGGAGTCCTAAACACCTTAGGAAACCCTCTAGTACAAGACACAAACTTTACATAACCAATCATACCAAATTTGGACTCCTTCCAAATTCGACTCCGCATTCCATACGCACACAATAACTCTATCGTATACCATATGGAATCTCCATCAACCACGTGCATCAACTCTAGCCTAAGTATCCCGCATGATCTTTGACCACCACGGACGTCGTCTTATCCCCAAGCCGACTCCCGGTCCATCACCTCAAATACTCTCCCGAGACATCGAGTCACCTACACATGGAACAAACAAAGAAACCATATTCCGAGACCAAGCTATCTCCAACTTGACTCATTAGCAGCAAACAATAGTATTACATACGTATAGTATCCATCTAGAAGTCATAATCATGAAATAAACTCGGATATCCAAATAAACAACCCGAAACCGAAACCGACACAGTGTCGGCCGGTCAGACGGCAAAGAATAAGCCGATTAGGAGTTGGCCCAATCCAAGTTGTCTTGCTGAACTCATTGGGTGATAGAACTCATAGGAGACTTGGATGTTTCTTCCCTGATGAATGCCGACAGGAAGGATGCATGGGCTGATTGCAGCTGTGAGAACTTCTCTGGATTTTTGGTATTTTTCATGATTGATGTCCTCAAACCTAAAGTCTGACGGAAGATATAGGTCTACTGAGTCCACATAGGGAAACCAGACTCGGGCATCTTTCTGAACACCTTCATAGAAGCTGCAAAACCAATCCTTGAGCAACTCAGCCGATAGCTTTGCTCCAGCATCAGTTGGTGTGGATGCATATTCTCCGTATGACATGCATCTGCGATGAGTGCGTTCTTCTCCATCGTCTTCCACAATCGGCTCTGGTAATGGGAATTCAGTTTCTGTTACAGATAGCCAATTGACAACCTTCATGACCATCAGGTTTTACCAGGTTTGTAGCAGCCACCATGGTCCACCTGCACCAACTACTGAGCCGACGGCTATCTTAGCCAATGCATTGTTCAACATTTGGTATAAATAGCCGAGGAGGATTTTGCCCAAAGGAAATTGTTTCTTTGATTCTAGGGCTTCGGCTACAAATTGCCAATTGGGTGTAGGGCCACAGCTAGATTCACAGAAGAGGAACTTTTCTAGCCACATTAGCAAGAAAGCTACATGCTCTCGAGGAGTAACAGATCCTTGGCCCATATATGCTGCCACATAGCCAGACCAGCCACCTATGCTTTTGGTTCTAAAATCAAATTGATTTTTGGTGTTCATGTTCATAGGATTAGCCGATGAAGTTACATCTAAACCGGTGATGATGGTAATATCGATCAAAGTTGGAGTCATCGGCCCTTGGTTGAATAAAAAGGCATTGATAGTGTTGGACCAAAAATATGTGGCGGCAGCCATCAGAGGTTCGTCTTTAGCACAATTGGCTATGGTAAGGGTGAGCGCTTGGCAGATCCCAATCTCATCCCAGTGATACGCGCTGGTACCATGTGATCCAACTTTTCTCAGGGGTGGTTTTCTCAAGAGATGGCCAAGACTTGAAAGTGTTTTTCCAGTGACCCAGGTTCGAGTTGGCTAATCTAAAGGGGATATTGTTGGTTTCGCTGATGATAAAATTAGTAGGGTCAAGATTGCCGATTGCACCAAGAAAGTAGTGGTTTTCATGTGACAGGCTGGGAAACGCAATTAGGTTGGAAAGGTGCTGCAAATCCAAAGGAATCGGGAAGGAGAAAACAAGATGAGAAAAGGAAAAATCAATTTCATGCGAGGAAAAGGGATCTAGCCGATGAGAACTTACCTCAGCGTACTCGGCCGATGGCACGGTAGACGGGCTGGCAGAAGATGACATCACCGCAGGCGGGAATCCGGCCGGATATGAAGTTGCTTTGGAATCGCCTTTTGTGTCGGAGGAATCACCGGAGAGAGAGAGGACAAGGTTTGCTTCAGCGGTGAAAACGAAAGGGGACGGTGTGAGATTTCTCGAGGGTGACGGCTAGTATTTAAAGCACGGGAGTAACGATCGGAAAACAACAAAGTGCGAAATTTGCTCGGAGTCGATATACAGCAAATCCGAAACATTACCAAATATTCCGGACTTGGGGGGCATGTGTTAACGACTAAATTTGGTAATATCGGCATCGGAAAAGAAGTTTAGATCAAAGTAGAGTCGAAGGCGGAGATCGATTCGAGAACAGAGCAAGAATCGGCTGGAGTCCGAATCGGCTACGATCAGAATTGGCTGGGTCTGAGTTATACTAGGTGAGCCGATACAGCCGATTCTGACAATACGACTTGGTGTATGACATCGGGTTGAATTGATATGCTTCAAGATGATTGCCGCACATGGATAGAGTCCTGAGAAGGCAATTGTATCAATTAATTAGGATATTTTATGTAATTTCCTTAGAGATATGTTTAGGGCAAGAGTCTGCCGTAAAGACTTATGGTATCATAGAGTTTGTTAGGGATAAGAGTCGTGTCCGACATGGACATAGTTTGTAAATTTCGGGTATAAATAGACCCCGAACCCTATATAATGAATTAACACACACGTTCAATACAATTTCGGCGCATCGCCACCCTTTTGCTTTTGTTTTATTTCGACGAGTTCTTACTTTCGGGTTGAGCTGCATCGGTTTCGATCTTGAACAAGAAGTAAAACTTGTTATTACGGCTTGCGTTCTCGGGATTAGTTCTTCCATCTTTATGATACTCTAATCTTGTTTATGTAATTCGTCGAGTTATCATATATCTTACATAATCTCTAGCAATATCGTCATTTAACCCACAATCGGCTAACATCTGTTAACAGAGGCCATCCGATTAGGTTAGATACCGACGTTGGTTTAGATTATATAAGATATCTACCACTCTATGAAACTTCCAGCGGCTTGATTGTCTAGATATTTTTCTTCTTTTCATACTTAATATTGCATCAGTTCAGTTTGATCTATTAAGTCGTGCTTAGAATATCAATCTCTAGCCTGCCTGCTGGTTGCCGATTAGGGTAGTATCGGAGTTTCAGCTGATCTTATCTGATTTAACTATATTTGCTCTATATGCTTCATTGACACGTTTAATATGTCCTTTATGTCAAGATATTATCGCATCTAAGTATATTAAGCTTCTGTTTGGTATATTCTGCTTGTTTTAACATCTTAACATCGAGTCGTATTGGAGTATTAGCCGATACATGCTAGATCTATCTGATCGGCTATGCTATGAACATGTATAGTCCTGTTATTAGTATATATTTCGATCTAAGTGATTTATACTATCTTGGCATGACGACCGATCTATCCCAATCACTTGATTTAAGTATATATTGATATAAGAATTATATATTGTTAATATCTACAGCCGATCAAGTAGATTTAGTTCTTTATCGTCTATTTACAACTGCCGATCGATTTACATATGACATCAGCTCAAAGATAAATGAAATGTCATCGGCACTTAGCCGATTGGCTATCGTTTATAAATTTAACCGTGGTTTCTTTGTATCTATTTCTTGTTGATTGCAGGATCAAATCAACTGGTATGCTAACACGCCCGAAGACGAGCTTTGAACCTGCACTGAGTTAAGCAGATCTCCCAGGCCTCGTGTTTTTCGTCAACAGATAGGTTCTTCAGATATGCAACAATCTCGTTCCTCCAATCATCCGCGTCAACATTTGCAATCCCAATTAGGCAAACCTGAAAACACGATTGAATTTTTAAAATTAGGCTAACTTGAAAACACGAAAAAACAAGTTAATTTCATGAAACTCCGTATATTATGGTCCATTTATCTAAAACCACATGGATTTTGACATGTGGCATATAACCAGTCCTCTCACAAAAGTATTATTTTGGCATGCAGAACAGAGTACATTTACGAGAGATCATCTTGACATATACTTGTTCAAGAGAAACATGAGCCAATCTAAGAGCCAGCTGCATTGCATTCACCTCAAATATAATGCATCTTCGCGTAATTATGTTCCCCAACTTGACAGTTTTAAGCATGTGCAGAACCATACCTTAAGATGGTCGCATTAAAGCCTCACCAATGAGGTAAGGATTGCAACGTTTACATAAATGAAATTCTTCATTGTAAAGAGCTAATTTTAGTTGTGCACTATGCGTTTAGCTATTCAAGTTACAAGAGACCATCTTGACAATTCGGACACATACTTGTTCAAGAGAAACATGAACCAATCCAAGAGACAGCTATTGCATTCACTTGATAGTTTTATGCATTCTCACAAACATATTTATACTAGTATAAGCTTTATGAAACATGTAAAGCTCCCCAACAAGATAGTTTTATTCATTCTCACAATCATACTGAAAGATTGGTACACAAATAGGCTATAGGCTATACCAACGAGGCAAGAATGGCGATGTTACATAAATAAGATTCTTCATTCATAAGAGCTAACATTAGTTGTGCACAAAAACAGCTGGCAACATTAATTTTGGCAAAAAGATAGCTGGCATGACTATATAAACTGAATCTTGCGAGAATCCTGGCAACAGAAAAAGCATAGCAAAACGAACGACACGATGAAATTTCATTCGGCTATTGATGACCTCACCGAAGTAAAATAAAGCAGGTCTTCATTGAAGTTCAAAACTAAAGGGGTCATGCAAACAATCGATTCTAACTACTAAATACCATCACAAATGAACATTCTAGGATATTATATACAATGGACACTTGTTAAAAACATGAGCATCATCTTAAACTCAGGCTAAGACAAAGCTATCCATGAATTGATAGCATAGTCGGAGCACTACACTACAAATAGTGGCGTCTAATTCAACAACTTTTTAATAATGGCGACAACATGATACTATTTTAGGGTAAAGAATATCATACTCATCAGTCATGGAACACAAATCACTATCATACTCATCGCTCATCAAAGATAGATCATCACTATCATATTCATCACTGTAAAGGCGATCCTCTTCCACCCGACCATTAACCCTGTCCGTTGTGAGGCTGCTATGCTCAATGATGCTCATGTTGGTGTAATATGGCTGCATCGATTCAGGATCGAAATCGTCATTGCAGGGGTCTTCTCCACAAACCATCTTCTCAAATTCCAACTTCCGCCCATGGAAGTCTACCCCAATAGGATGCACGATCTTAATCCCCGTGTCATCACAGTAAAGACACCGTACTCGTTCTGTCAACAAGAAATTAAGGTAATTAATACACACAAATTGCTGCAGCAAAAATTGTAAATGGTAAGAAAATAAATATAAAATACTTCATCATTCATAGTCTCATAGAGCCTTATTGTGCCTAAGTCTGGGCATAGCTAAGTAAGCCACGCATACAGAACAGGTTCATGGAAGGGGCCAGCTGCTTTTATAGTGCGTGTTTTTCTTGAAGCAAATGTTATGCAGGTTAATTAGAAGGTCATCCAGCTATATGTTGACCGCTTTGCTAAAGAGCAATGTCACTTGATCTGAATATTTGGATTACCAACCTAAACGTTGATTTGAGTAAATGCCAAATCGAACAGCCAGTTAAATTTGTTAATTAACATCTAGATAACCAAAGTACACGTAATGACCATGCCTTTCAGGTGTTAACTTAAATGATGAGATATTAAAACAATTGAGACAGGTAGCTAGGTTCATATATACCAGCGCATGGTAACGGCACTGACACGAGGCAGCAGAAGGATTGTGTTCCAGCTTCGGCTTTGTTATCATTGCTAACCTCCGCAAAGAAAAGCACCGGATTGCTGTAGGTAGAAAATGGAGTGCCTTTGGGAGTCGCTAGGAAATTGACATGAGACCTAAAGCACTTAGCATCAGTGCCAACTGGGCCCGACACGCAATTGTTCACGCCACAGATGGTATGCAGCTCATACATGGGTTCCTGTAAGTGGACAGAGGCAGCAATAAGTTGATTGGCGAGCAAATTTTGGATAGCACACACACAGTATGTGATAAAAAATACTCTCTATGTTTCTAATGTTCGACACCGTGGACTTTTTAGCACATATTTAACTGTTCGTCTTATTAAAAAAAATTTATGAAATATGTAAAACTATATGTATACATGAAAGTATATTTAACAATAAATCAAATTATCAGAAAAGAATTAATAATTACTTAATTTTTTTAATAAGATGAATGGTCAAACAAATTAAAAAAAGGCAATAACATCAAATATTTAAAAACGGAGGGAGTGTGAAAGCAACGAGCAAGCGAAATAAACCAACCCCATTTGGCATCGCAGCATATGTGCTCAATGCAGCATGGACCTTTTCGGACATTCGTGTATGCGCAAACAAGTACTCTGGACGTGGGAATGGGCGAAGTGGCTGTCTGCTGCAGGTGGCCTCAGGACACAACAACCTGACAAGCAACTGAACATCTTCAGAGGAGAGTTGGCCACCGCCGTGCAGGAGCGATGAGGCATCCTCTAGCATTTGACCAGATGAACAGAGAAGCAAAACCTTTGCTTGAGCATCAGGGTCAGGGTGACAGGCAGCGGTAGCGGCAGCCATGAATGCTTCCTCCAAACCGGTGAGCGGGGGGGAATCAACAGCTGTGGTGAACCCAGCTGTCTCATCATCCAGGTAGAGATCAGCGAGGAGTAGGTGACCATCTGCATTGACAAGGTATTTGATAGCTTGATTGAAATCGATATGATGGTAACGTGTGCAGAGGAAGGAGACGAGGCCATACAAGGAGCGATTCTCTATCCGGTACAGGCCCATTGTGCCGATCACGTCCAGCTCCAGTTCAAAGGTTGGTGGGAACGCTGCATCATACCAGATGGTGTTGATGATGATGTTGGAGACAGGGTCGAACGGGCCATAGCAGTGGCCAGCCTCGAGCAGGCTGCGGTGGAAGCGGCGGCGAAGCTCTCTGGCCGGCAGCCGGGCAAGGGCCTTGAGGTAGAAGCCATGGATCGCGTCCTGGAGCGTCGCCTTGAGGGCAGGGGATTGCCTGTACGGCACGCTGCGGGGAGGAGGCAAACGAGAATCCATGAGTCGCCACGGGCCCCACCTGTCGTCGTCTACCGCCGGCGGCGACCCCTCGTCGAGCAGCTCGGCGAGCTTATCGAGGCTGGATTGAGGGGAGCGGCGGTGCACGTCGGCGAGGTGGCGCACGGCGTCGTCGAGGCGGGTGATGGTGGCCAACCAGTCGGCGACTAGGCGATCGGGGTTTGGGTGCTTGGCGGCGAGGGCGGCGCACTTGAGGACCATCTCGAGGGCCTCGTTGACGATGTCTGGCCCGGAGGACCCGAATCGCCTCATGCCGATGTCGAACGCGACGATGCGGGCGGCGACGAGCAGGTCGGCTTCGGCGTAGAGAAGGAAGCGCACGGCCTCGGCGTCGGCGAGGTAGGGGAAGAAGCGGGTGAGGAAGGCCACCATGCCGTCCAGCGACCGGTGCTCCAGGTCCCTGAGCTTTTCTTGGGGGATGTAGACGAGCTCATCACACTCGCTCCGGGTGTCGCCCACCGCGCGCCCGTAGGAGAAGAGGGTGTTGGCGACGATGTTGGAGACAGGGTCGAGGAGACCCAAGCAGAAGCCGCCGCCGCCGCCGACGAAGCTCGCAGCCATGCGGGGCCTCACCCTGAGGCTGAGCCGCTCCAGCGCCTTGCAGTAGGAGAGATGGATTTTGTGCAGCAGACGCGATCTATACTCCGAAACCTCCTGGGCCAGCGGGTAATCGCGCTTGAAACTCGGCTGGTAGATCCGCTGTCCCGGTGGGCAGTTGGGCACCAGCGCCATCGCCGGCGACCATCCGGAGAGGGTCAGAGGGAGCGAGGGAGGTTGTGATTCGACTGGGCGTGAATTGAACGGAGCGGCGTCCGGTGCTCGGTGGAGTAGAAGGGGATAGAACAGAACAACGAACCAAGGGGAAATCTTCCTCGTTTCTCTCACGCTACCCTTTTTTTTCTTTTTTACTTATTTTTCTTTCTTTCTTTTTTCTTTTACGAGGAAATCTTCCGGACGGGCTGTCTTCTCCGATCAAAACTCGGCATTGCATCGGACCTATCTTCATCCGAACTAGGGCGCAACTGGTCCATCCAAGGAAAAAGTTCACTTCTGATCCCTAGTCTTTGACGTCAAAGTTTAATACGCTAATACTTCTGATTCCTCAACGCTGTGCTCCGCACCGAAAACGAAGCGGTCCACTACTGCGTGATTAATTAAGTATTAGCTAATTTTTTTCAAAAATAGATTAATTTGAATTTTTTAAGCAACTTTCGTATATAAACTTTTTGTAAAAAAAAAAATACAATTTAGCAGTTTGAAAAGCATGCGCACGAAAAACGAGGGAGAGGATGTTAATGATCAAATTTGTGTGTTTTTTTCAACGAACAGAGAGGTTGGGAACAAGGGATGCCAAACACAGCCTTAAAACCAACACAAACAAGATATCAAGGTGATTTGGAGGGTGATTTCTAATTATGTGTAGTTTGGGTTCTTATGCCACGTGGTGTTGATATGGCCCTAGAAACAAAATCTATACCTGATGGAGGCACGTCATGAGGGCCTTCAGCTAACCTGTCGAAACCACCTGGGCCATCAAAACATCGGCTAAGCCCTTTGGGCGAAAGCCCTTGGGCTAGACCCAAGCTGAGTTGGCCTAGTTACAAAGGAACTTTATTTAACTAATTACTGCGGGAGCGGTTGTGGCAGCTGGCTCCACTGGCCGGAGATAGGGGAAGGGCCCAAGAGGTAGGCCCCTCCTGTCAGCGACCCAGAGAGAGGGCACGGCAGGCGGCAGCTGCTAGGCCGTGGCCACGGGCTAGCCAACGAAGAGAGAGTGCGCACGGGGAGGAAGTGGGCCCCGTTCGAAAGGAGTGAAGAAAAGAGATTAACATTAAATTAAATTCTGAAAATGGATTTTGAATTATTAAAATTATTTCATTTGCTCTAAAAATTCCACTAAAAATCCTATGAATGGATTTAAACATGGGGAACTCAAGCAAAATCCCACCATGCTATTTCCACTTATTAACTGCATTTATTAATTAGGGAAGAAAGAGCAATGGCGCATAGAGGATGAGGTCATAATAGAATGTAACACCCCACTCCCATTGGCTGACATACCCTATGATGAGAAGGTCACTCCTTTGGATATGCACAAGGGAAGACCGGGAAGCACTTGGAGAGATGTTCGGACATGGAGGCCCGATCATATCAAGTTCGAGCCCACCTCAAAATCCAGGAGCAGCCCGCATCAAAATTGTCGCCCATACAACATTTGTATTCAGTTTTCGATGTGCTAATATATATGAAAAACTAACGAGATCATATTTCCAATGGGTCTGGTTTCACATTGAAATTCATTTCCAGTCAGTGGGAGTCATCGTGACAAGTTAGAGTCTAGAATGGGTGTCGCGGCCATCTTTTGACCTGTTGGGTCGTGTATCATGTTGGAGTCCATCAGGGGTCCTTGGTCGACCATAGAACCTATTTATTTAGTAGTCGTCATCTAGTTAGGGTTGAGTATTGCTTAGATTATTTTGTCATTGCAGTTCCGCCGCTAGTTCAGTTTGTGGAACCCAATTTGGTAGATTTATCTTATATTCGCAATATATTCATATTTCATCTTCTACTTTCTTGATTATGTTCTCAATTCGCCTGTAGGAGATAGCCTTATCGGTGAGCTCAATCGTGTTTCGGCTTGGTTGATAATCAACGGAGAAGTGAGATAGTAATTGCAAGAAGTGAGATAGTAATTGCAAGTGTTCCATCATCCTAATCAGAGTCTTTAGATCGTCAACATCAAGTCTCCATAGGTTTATCTGAAGATGAATAATTGTCTTACCCTGTAACAGGTGTTTGACATCTGCCAGAGAAAAGTCCATCACAGTCCACATTAGTGACCAGACCCCGCCATGTCACTCATGAGGGTTGAGACTAGGGATGAAAACGGTACAAAAACTTTCCGGATTCCGGACCTACTTTCGAAAACGGAATCTGTTGGTCGGAATTTTCCGGAAACGGAAATGAATTCAAAAATATTTTCTCGGAAACGAAATCGAATACGATAAGGGCAGTTCCGTCGGAACTCGGAATCGGTCGGAAACTTTTCGGAAAATTTCTCGGAATTTCCAGAATGATAAAGGCCCATACCATAGTCTATAATTCCTCCCCAACCCAACCCAATTCATCATTTAATTCCTTAGTCACTCAATTCTGCCCAACCCAATACACCCAATTCAAACTTGAGAATTGGACTTGACATGATCGTGTTTTGTGATGTAATATTGAAATTTGAGACTTGAGAATTGGATTTGACATGATTTAAAGCTTAGTTTGAGTGGTTTTTGTATTCTGATAAATTTTCGTTACCGTATCAGCGTCGGTCTGTTTTCGCTCCGTTTTCGGTTTCGACAATATTTGATTCCGATTTCGTATCCTGGGTTTCCGATTCCCAAAAAAAAAAATGAAAACGAAAACGATAAAGGTGGTTTCCGTCCGTTTTCGTACTATTTTCATCCCTAGTTGAGACGATGACATGTTCCGTAGTACGGTTGCAGTGCTTGATTAGTAAATATGAAAACGAAAATAATAAAGGTGGTTTCCATCCGTTTTCGTACAGTTTTCATCCCTAGTTGCGACGATGACATGTTCCGTAGTACGGTTGCAGTGCTTGATTGGTAAATTTATACTGCCTGTGCGTTGCAACAGAAAAAAATATTACTTTTTAAGGAATTTTATGATTTAGTGCTATGGTTAAACACTCGATTCTATAATGCCTTAGCAAAAGCAAGTAATTTTTTTATAATTAATGGATAGAAAATCCGGCCTCTATATAAAAAGCGAGTAATGTATAATACTACTGTTTTCTTTCTTTTTGCATTGTTCTAAGTTGAACTCCATTAGCCCCTAAAAACGATCATGTTCCTCATAAAATGTGGCATGTACTAATTAAGCAAGCCAAGATCTAACGCATTGAAATATCTGCAGATTAGCACAAATCAGTTCTTTCTTATTTAGCTCGCTCAATATTTTCCAATTAATGTCTTGTAGGGAAATTAAATAAACACGATGATACTGATGTATAGAAATATATAAATTACAGTATCGTATTTCAAATGGTCAGTTGCGTCAAGCAGCGGAAGGAACAAAAATTGGTAGCTTTAGAATTCCATCATCCCCAAATAAACAATACCTATATTGCCTGCAGAGAGGAGTTCACAATTGAGTCCAGGAGGGAAAAAGATTTCCGCATCAACTAATTAGTAAAGTGAAAGGGAAAATGCTGAGCAGAACATCCTCTGACTAATAATGCCAAAAGGAGTTCCATCCCCGTCCAGTTCTACAGAATTCTGACTATCAATAACCATTTCTTAACTGCTAACCGATTGCTTTGTTTTTAAAAATATAGTAAGTACTATTCGGTGTGTGCATAATATAGGAGTGAATTATGGCACATGATAATTAGAAAATACAGTTTACTATGCAAAGTTATACCTATCTGGTTTGCATTTAATTCAAATCCAAGGGTAACAGATGATCATACCTTTGTGTTATACTTTCATTGAAAAGGTAGAAAAGCATCTGTGTACATGTATCAAGAGTTTACATCAACTAAAGACAATTTCCAGGATTATACATGACCACTAAGGTTCATTCTTTTAGACATGTAGAAGAAAATTTAACCTCCTGCCAAATGATCAAGAACCATCTGCCTGAAACAGACATCGCAGGAGGCATCACAAAATGGTGTTTTTATTTTTTTTTTTGAGAATTACACAGTACAACGCAGACACTCACAATGCACGCGCACTCACCCCTATGAACACACGCACGCAAACCCTACCCCTATGAGCATCTTCGAAGACTGGGCCGGTAAATCCTGGAGAGATTGACGAAGTCACCACAGGCGCCTCGCTGTCGACGGGTACGTCGCCTACCACTGAAAGCACAACGCTGTTAAATCCTGGAAAATTCACTCCCATGGGGAGTCGAACCCAGGACCTCAGGTGCTACTGAGGCTCTTGTAACCACTAGGCTATGAAGCTGTGTAACTGATTAACTACCAGAACAATTATTAGTTCATAAAGCTACCATACAAAAACAATCTTACCACTACATTTTGGATACAATCTTCACAGTTGGTTGGAGAAAATAATGATTTTAATAGGTTATAAAGCAGTCAGCTTCATACATTACTTTTAGGTATCTTTTAGAAAAATGACTATTCAGATGACAAAACAAGAATATCTATATGTGCAATAAAACTACGTATATAGTTTCGTATCTAAATTCAGCCAAATTAAATGGCGCCCAAAATCAACTTTCAGGCTTTCACAGTGTTGAAGACAAATCCTGCGTGTGGGCAGGGGCGGAACTGGGCCTTAGGGCAGCTTGGGCCCAAGCCCTACTCGTGAAAAAAATTTTAGTGGACTAGTACCTATATATTTCTCAGATTTTGCCAAATTCTACAGCCCAGCCCTACTCGTCTGGCCCAGCTCCACACATGGCCTGTTTTAGCCCCCACATCTCTCAGCCCAATAACCAGCCCATCGCAGCCCAGCAGAAGCCAACCCTAATCCCACCTCCTCTCTCTCGCGCACGAGGCACGACGCCGCATCACCGAGCGCCGCTTATTCCTCCTTTCTCATGCTCTCAGCTCTCCGCCTCTCCCTGTCTCCCGACCCACATCACCGACTGGCGACAGCGCACGGCGGCGGGCGGCGACACGCACTAGTGGCGGCGGGGCGGCGGCGCGCATCCGCGGACGGGAGGCGGCGAGGCGCATCTCAGCAGCAACCAGCAGGCAGGGGCGCAGGGCGAAGGGAGGGGCAGCAGCAGGCAGCAACAGCAAGCGAGGGAGGGGATCGGCCGTGGCTGCGGCGCACAGTCGGCGGCAAGGCAGCCCCCTTTCTCAGCCCACAAATTTTGATTCCTATTTCCCCAAATCAAGGTCAGTGTCCTCTCTACTCATCGATTTTGCATGTTTATTTTTCATTTGGTAGCAGTTAGTTAATTAGAAATTGGTTTGATTTGCTAGATGAAGAGGAGCAGAACTTTAACATCATTCTACCAAATTCAGTCCAGTGAGTCCACTCCAACCCTAGAAACAGAAGAAATTGATGAATCTACCCCAACCACAGAAACAGCAGGAACCGGTGCTAGTAACAACGCTCAAAATAATATTGTGCTTGCTCCGAATGTAGTTGTTGCTGACCATGTGCTTCGCACACCAACTGAACAATTGGATGTGAACATTAGGGATGCTGCTAGAAGGGAGTATTTGTTATTGGGTCCATATCAACAAGTTGAATCATAAATATCCACAAACAAAAATAGGAGGAGTGAACAGGAGCTTTCAGAAGACATGGTTTAAAAAACACAAATGGTTAGAGTACAGTGTTGCTAAGGAAGCAACCCCGAGTTGAGAATTATGGTTTTGAATGCTAGGTACGTCGTGTTAGGTACTCTAACAAAATTTTAGTCTAGTCTTGTACTTATTTTACACTTTTACTGTACTTCAGTGCATATTTAGAAATTGTATTCCAGTCTTGCATTTTTTTCCGTACTTGTACTATTACTTCCTTGTACGAATTGATATGGATAGTTGTTAGCCTTTAATTTGAGCCCTAGGCGTGTCGAGATCCTGGCTCCGCCACTGCGTGTGGGCATAATAGACAGCAATAGATGACTGCATAAACAAATTAATTATCAGTAAGGTGATTTCGATTTTTTGTCATTAACGTGACAAACTGAACAGATGCTTAATTAGTATATTTCTGTAGGACATATGAACGTGAAGCTCGTGGAGAAAAATAATAGTTTTTTAATCCAATTTCTCTACACACATATGTTCCGCAAACATTTCAATCAAATTCAACGGAAGTCTAGCATTTGATGTATTTTATGCTGAAGGAGATGAAAAATATAGGATTTTAGAGAGAAAGTACCTTATAATTCTTAACTTATTCAAGACAGAAGAGAAAATATATACACTTTTTTGTATGACATGACAAAAAAAAATGCATATGGAGAAAGAAGCAATTTGATTTGGACAAAGAAGCCTAACCAAGCTGCTGCCATCTCTCAAGAATCTCCCATCAACTATATGCAATTAAACGTTCCCCTTCCCCGCCATTTGCCACCAATTCTCAATTCTCAGCCTAGCTTCTCCTACAACCTTCTCCTGGTTGCAGAAGACAATTCAGACGACTAAAGGAACAAACAGCATTGAAGAATTCCAGAGATCCAGAACAGGTTGCATGTAATAAAGTCGAGCAAGCAGCAAATTCTCCACAATGCGCAGAATATCCCGTAATATTTATCAACCAAACTGAGTGCACAAATTGGATAAGAAAGCGGGGAAAGTAATGGTCCTAATGGAAAAGACCGGACCTACGCACTCGGCGACCGGGGAAGCGGGGAAAATAGTTGCTGCCGCGTTGTCGAGGAGTGGAGCGGGTGGTTGGAGGCTTGGAGCGACCGGGGAGGACTGCAGGCTTGGAGGCTTGGAGCGGTGGGCAGAGGGGGCAGATGGGACGGCGGCGGTGAATCGGCGACGGTGCTAGGGCTGAACCGGCGTGCAAGGGCGAGTGTCATCGGCGGCGGACGGGACGGGGGCGCGGAGAAGTGCGGAGGAAGGCGGGCGTGCGACGACGGCGGCGCTGATCTGGGCGAGGGCGAGGGCGAGGGCGAGCAGGGGACGAGCTTCTGTTCGAACGTCCGATCAGATACAAAACATCGGACACCTAGGACCAGCTCACTCCTTTACTTACTAGTTTCTCCTTTCTCCCTGTTGACGTCAAAAAAATGTTGCAAATCGGTAGCCTGTGGGTTGGACGAACCCCTGTCAGTGTAAACATACATGCCTAGCCGTTTCTTTTCATTCTTTCCTCATCTCTTTAAATATTTTTCTCCTAAATTACTTATCCGATCTACGAACCGATCACACCGTTGTATTCGTTGCAATTAAATCTTTACAAGAAGATATCACATGATTATATTATGTCAAAAGAAAAATGTGTTTCAAACCGTTAAAACAAAATATTTTATACGTGATAGTGATATGTTTTAATATGTGTCTTCGGTGTGTTTCACAAAATTCTTGAAACTACCTGCTACTACTCTCTCTCCACCTCATGCATGCATCCATGCATTTATTTTAGCAAGCTTCAAAATGAATTTTCTTTTAAATTACTTATTCAATATATGATCCGATTATATCGTTGTATTCGTTGTAATTAAATTTTTACAACAAGATATCGCATGATTATATTTTGATAAAAGAAAAACATATGTTTCAAACCGTTAATACGTGTTGTTTCATATGTGACAGCGACATGTTTCAACGGGAATCTTCATCATGTTTCATAAAATATTTAAATGTTTCAGTTGCAATTTTTTTGTTTCACCATATATAACTTAATGTTTCACTTACTGGTCAACTACAATATTTAACCGTCCGATTTTTTTTTGAATTTTAAAATGTTTCACATAATGTACTCGTAATGTTTTACTATTTATGGATGAAATGTTACAATGTTACAGTGAATTGAAACATCCTTTCACTATTCGCTGAAACATTATTATTTTCATATAAGGTGAAACAACATCCGATGAAATATTTTCGATCTACTTAGTGAAACAATTCTGATATACTTGGCGTAACAGCGTGCAGCATTTTAAAATAATTCAATAATAAGCTATTTTTTTTCATCAGATTATATTCATGTGTGGTCTTGTTTTAAAGATTTTATTGTAACGGATTTAATGGTGCAATCGGATCATAATTTAGATAAATATTTTCAGAGAAAAAATAGTTTAAACATCGCTTAAATTATGCATGATGGATGGCTGACACACGCTGCATGATGGGGATGGCTGGCGCGTGCTAGGATCGGACGGGGGCAGCTAATTAGCGTGTACGCGTTGCCGGCGCATACACCGCCAAGGCCCACGTACGCGCTAGGCCCAGTAGTTTCGCTCTTTTTTTCGCTTTTTTTTTCGGATTTCGCTTTTTTTCTAATTGCTACCATATTTTCTTCATGTGCTCGCGCGATTTTTTTCGTGCTATATTTTATAAATTGAATCTTTCATCTCCAATTTCAGTTGAAAGTTTTTAAAATTTAAGTTGAATGTTTTGAATTTTGAGATAAAAGTTTTCAAATTAAAATTGAATATTTTGAATTTTGACTTGAAAATTTGTAAATTTGAGTTAAAAGTTTTCAAATCCGACATGAAAGTTTTAAATCTTAATTTGAAAATTTTTAAATCCGAGCTGAAAGTTTTCAAATCTAAGTTTAAAGTTTCAAATTTAGACTTGGAAGTTTTCAAATCTAAGTAGAAAGTTTTTAAATCTTAGTTGAAAGTTTTCAATCTTATCTTGAAAATTTTCAAATCTAAGTTGAAAGATTTCAATCCTGACTTAAAAGTTTTCAAATCCTAGTTGAAAGATTTCAATCCTGACTTGAAAATTTTCAAATCCTAGTTGAAAGATTTTAATCTTGACTTAAAAGTTTTCAAATTCTAGTTAAAAGATTTCAATCTTTACTTGAAAGTTTTCAAATCTATATTGGAAGATTTTAAATATAAGTTTAAACTTTTAAATATGGAACTGAAAAGAAAAGAAAAATAAAAAAGGAAACTTTTCCCGTGATATGGAAAGTAACAGAGAAAAATGAAAGAAAATCAGAAAAAAAAAGTGTGAGGCGCGTGAAGCTAGCGTGCGCGCCAGCAGAGAAAGCTGGCGCGTACGAGCGTAACAGCAAATCCGGGATCGGACGGTCGCGCGAGACGTCCAATTTTTCGTCTCGCGCCGTTCGCGCCGTATGACCGACGCGTAGCGCTCTCCGGTTCTTTCTCGCGTCTCACGCGGAGTGGGAGGATCACGCGTCGCGTCGCGTGCGTGGGAGGGCAATCTCGTCCGTTCGATCTCGCGGTAATGGTCAGAAATAAAAATGGTAGGAACAACAACAGCCGTTACGGTCAGTGGTCAGCTTTGCTAACAGAATCCATCGCGTGAATATAGAACGGAGAATCGGTCGCTCATCCCATTAGCCTCATCTCGATGGGCCTATCTTCTACTGACAGGTGGGACCGCCCGTGATCCCATCCCCCGATCCAATGGGAATCTTTCCATCTATATCGTTACAACCCCATCAATTCCGGCCTTCTCCACGCACTCTGCTGAGTGCTCGATCGCTCACTCGATCGTCAATTCGCCATACATACTGCTAACGTCCAACATAAGCTCAGTTTGATTGAGAAATCATCTGGCTGGAGACGACGACAGACGTAGGTGGCAACGAGCGGGATCGTCGATGGGGTCGCCGTCGTCGGTGAAGATGGAGTGGGGGTCGGCGGCGTGCATGGTGCTGATCGAGCTGTTCACGACGGGGCAGATGCTGCTCACCAAGGTGGTCGTCGACGCCGGTCTCTTTGTCTTCGCGCTCCTGACCTACCGCTTCTTCCTCGGCACCATCCATGTCCTCCCGTTAGCCTTCATCCTCGAGAGGTACATCCTTCCATTTTTCGACACCAGCAGATGCATAGATATTTAGCTGATCTATCGACATATCCTTGATGTTAAGTCGATCAAATCCATTTCTACACACAAGCAATTGTGTGGAGATTATGGGTATCCCATACCCATGAAATATGTAACGGATCATGACTTGGGTATTACGTTTCCTTGTATATTAAGGAACGGCATAAAGTCCTGGTTTGATAAGATTGTAAAGTAGATTTAGGAAACCAATACCGTATTGGTTAAGGTTTCTATCTTGTAATCCTGCCCCCCGTCCTATATAAGGTGGGCAGGAGGCCCTCTAGGGGCAGATGACACAACTTGATCATCAGATCAATACACACCCGGCGGATTCAAATCCCCAAACAGGAGTAGGGTATTACCTTTCATTGAGAGGGCCTGAACCTGTCTAAATCCTTTGTCTCTACATCCATCCACTTTTAGGTCTCTTGTGCTACCCTCTTTTATTATTGCCGAATTCATGTTTCGACAGTTGGCGCGCCAGGTAGGGGATGCGTCGAATTACCAGTCGAAAAGTGAGATGGAATCCACTTCAGAAGAAACGGCGAGATCAATCTCACCGAATTCGATGGCTCGAACTTTGAACTGGGTTTGTCGTTCTAATCTAATTTTTATTAGATTAATTTTTTTCTATCATAGATCAATCTTCTGGTATATTTTCTTGTGTCGATCTTGTGTCGGTCGGCGGAGATCAAGCCGAAGCTGTCGACGACGCCCTCACGCATCGAGACTTTCTTCGTGCTTTGCCGGCGGACATGTGGTGGCCATCGCTGGGCACAGCTTACCAGGAGAAAACACTGCATGAGTTGATTCAACTGATCAACATACATGCACGATCCGACCAACATGCACATCACATCTACAGAGTTAATCTGTTTACTAGTTGAATCTAACCAGCAATTATTTTGTTGCTATCTATCTTGCATGTACACCGCCGGCCGTATCTACTGCCGGCTAGCTATATCCGTCAGCGCCGACCGGCTTCACCGTCTCTGTAGTTGGTGGCCTCCGAGCTGTTGCCATTAGGCTTTATCGCTGCCCCAGTCGGTCATCTACATGCCGCCGACTCTCCGAGGTAGCAGT